GCGAAGGGGGGAGGTGGGAGGGGGAAGGACACGGGGCAAGAGGGGATGAAAGGTTGAGTGGGATGTGGGTCCCACATGACACACAAAAACCAACCCATAAAAGACAAACTTGAAATTATCTCTTGACGTGAAATTACCAACTTACCCTCGACGTTCCAAAAATTCGTATAATTCGGGACGAGTCGTTACAATCAAACTGCCCCCAAATCCTGTCCATTTAATTTGGATTGAAGCATGTAAAAGGGTAATTTCCCTACCCACTTGACAGCCCACTCCAGCCCAAAATGCACCAGCCCAAACACATTTTTTTTTTTTTTGTGAAGAAAGGCCCAAAAGCAAAAAGCCTATGACAAAATGGTGAGTAAGTCAAAATGAAGCCCCAATTCACAGTCAAGATGAATGGTGCAACTTTTTTTTTTTCTTTCCAATTTTAGACTTAAGTAAGTTATGTAATGAATTTAATTAAATCAGAAATGAAATATCCACTTTACCCTCATTTGTATCGTGTAGAGCACTTAGACCAACTCTAACAATGGGCTAAAACCTATAATTCCCCTTCCCCCCCCCCCAAAAAAAAATCCACTCCAACCCATGACCTAAAATTAACCTAAAACCTAAAACCCAAATGGAGGTCAAATACCAGCCCAAGTTTAGGCCACAAATTGGAGTGGACCCCATCTTCTGTGATTGAAACCTGGGCTGTGGAACCCAATTGCCCTCTGTCACTTGCTCCACGCGTAGCACGCAAGACCTTCAACCTGCATTCAACCGAGGTGGACCCCACACATGTGGGTGTGTCCCCCGATTTGTCAAGTTTTGTCTGTAGCCAACAACTACTTTTCTTCATTGGGTGGTGGTGGTAATTGGACCGTTGGTTAATCCAACGGTCCACATTCAAATATATTTTTAGTTCAAAAAATTATATGGACATTTTATATTTATATAGTTATTGAATCCAATCGCTTATATCGAATATAATCAAATCTAACGGTCCAAATTAAAATCCAACGGCTAAAATAATTTTAAAAAATTATTTAACTCAAAATTCAACCAAAAACTCTATAAATACCTATGTATTTGTTCAAACATCCACACAAAACTCATTTTTCTCCTACAATTCTTCCAATTTTTCTTTCTACCATTTCTTCTCATTTCCAAATTTTTCAAGATGGCAAAAGAGCATGTTAGAGGTCGTAATTGGACCTTTAATGAAGATATTGCTTTATGTTTGGCATGAATTTTTATTAGCGAAGATGGTCGGCACGAATCAAAATAGAAAGGTTTTGTGGGGTAAAATCGTTGATAAGTTCCATGAAAACTCCAACGCCGGTTGAAGGGAAGCTGGTGGTGTTTATGATCAACGGAAGATTATCAACAAAGTGTGCACTTTGTGGAAGGGAAGCTTGGAGAGAGCCATGGTTGACATGCCTAGTCGAATGGGCGCCTCAGAAATTGTGAGTTTCTTTGTTGATATTTTATTTGTCAAGTACATAATAGTATTTTGCAACTAATTGTTTTTATGTATTTGTTGGATGGGGTGACAAAGCAATGACAATTTACAAGACAAGAACTACAAGCTTTTAAGTTGCATCAAGCTTGGAGCATCCTCAAGGATTGTCCGAGATGGGGAACCGATGCGGACCAACAATGGGGAAGATTATTTCATAGTGAAGCCCCACCCCCAAATGATGTCAATGAAGGTGTGAATTTTGCCGACAATGAAGGTGTCGAACAAATGATCCCAACTTCTTCTTTTGCAAGGCCCTCGGGTAGAGATAAGCAAAAGGAAGCAAAGAGAAAAGGGAAGTCCCAAGATCCGATACGTGCACAATTTGCCAGCGAAATGGTAAGAATGAATGAAAACCATATCTCTCGGCTAGAAGAATCGGCCCAAATGCGTTTGGCCATGAAGGAACAAGGGGATAGGGAGCAAGAAATGTTCGAAATTAATTTGTTGATGGAGGACCTCGACCAATACACTTCAGAGAGGAAGAAATACTTACATGGTAAGCAAAAGGACATTTTACGAATGAATGCCACAAGGAGTATATTTCAAGATGACGATTCATCTCAAGACTAACACCCAAGTCCATCACCAAGTCAAGATGGTGGATATCATTATTAAGTTTTCGATTGTATTAAGTTTATATGGTTTATTCATTGTTTTTTTTTTTTTAAATTTATGTGGTTTATTAATTGTCATTTGTATTAAGTTTATGTGGTTTATTAAATGTTTTGCGCCGATGTTCTGCAATAGGGTAAAGGAATGTATTTCTACTGTATCTTTTAGTATCCTCATCAATGGCTCACTGACGGGTTACATCCAACCGAAGAGAGGTTTGAGACAAGGGGACTCCCTATCTCCTTTCCTTTTCCTAATCTGCACTGAGGGTTTCTCCAGTTTGATCAGGAAAGGGCTGGAGCGTGGAGTCCTCCATGGCTACAAGTTTACACCTAACGAGACTCCTCTTACCCATCTCTTCTTCGCAGACGACTCGGTCCTCTTTGGGAATGCTACGGTTGAGGAGGCCCAAGGTGTGGCAGATATCCTGAATGTGTATGCTAGCGGATCTGGGCAGGAGATTAATATGTCCAAGAGCTCGATTTTCTTTGGAACTTCGACTTCTAAGAGGACCAAGAAGAGAATAGGGGATACGCTGGGGATACCATATAAGGATGGTTTCGGGAAGTACCTTGGTCTGCAGGCTGATTTTGGACTCTCCAAAAAAGCTGTCTTCGCGGAGATTCGGGATAAGATTGAAGCCAGGTTAGCTGGTTGGTCGGAGCAATTCCTATCCCAAGCTGGAAAGGAAGTCCTGGTAAAGGCAGTTGCTATGGCTTTGCCAAACTTTGCCATGAGCTGCTTCAAACTCCCCATTGGGGTCTGTAGGGATGTAGAGAAAGCAATCCGGAGCTACTGGTGGAGAGGCAATGATCAGAGAAGGGGTATGTCATTGGATTTCATGGGATCGACTAATGAAACAAAAATTGGTTGGTGGTTTGGGGTTTAAGGATATCCAGTGTTTTAACCTTGCTTTCCTGGCTAAGATTGGATGGCGTTTGATCCAAAACCCCACTTCCTTTCTTGCAACTATCTTGAGAGATAAATACTTCCCAGGGAAAGGTTTCAAGGATGCTGGAAGAGGGAGGAACACTTCGTGGGGATGGAAAGGCATCTATGAAGGTCGCATGGTACTTCAACACGGTGTAAGGTGGCGGGTAGGAGACGGGGAAAGCATTAATATTTGAAAGGATCCGTGGTTACCGACACCTCAAACCTTCTTGGCTAACCCGATGGATAGCCTAGAAGAAATTAAGGTACGGGATTTAATTGATCCGGTCTCAAAGTCCTGGAAGGAAGAGGTCATCTTGGCTGGTTTCAATCGGGATGAAGCGAGGAGAATTTTAAGTATACCCCTAAGTAAATCTGGCTGTCATGACAGATTAGTTTGGCATTATACGGTGAATGGTGATTACTCTGTTAAAACTGGGTATGGAGTGGCAATGAATTTGATGGAGAACGGCGCCCTGGGCAGGAAAGGTCGGGGTGCGCCTAGTGAGCAACGTAAGAACAACTTGATATGGAAAAAGATTTGGACGTTGTAGGTTCCCAACAAAATTAAATTCTTCATCTGGAAGTGCTGCAACAATGCCCTGGCGGTGCGTCACAATCTTCAACGTCGTCAAATACGAGTCGAAAACATCTGTGGGGTATGTAACACCTTTGATGAATCGGAAAATCATTTATTCTTCCATTGTGATTTCAGCCATCGATTTTGGTTTGGTTCTCCTCTACATATAAACTCTCACGAGTTGGCGGGAGCCGACTTCCTGGAAAGCTGGGATAAAATTTGTACCAGAATCAAGAATTCGGAAAAGAAAGAGGAGATTCTCCAGGAGGTTGCTTTTGGTCTGTGGCGACTCTGGAAAAATAGAAATGAAGTGGTTTTCAATGGTGTACACAGACAACACCTGGAAGTCATGACGCTATGGAGAAAGAACATTTCTGAGTACCGTGAGGCCCTGTCCCCGAGTCTCGAGGGAGAATGTCAACTGATCTCCAAACCCCACAAGATGGTGAATCGTTCGTAGTCTCAATGGAAGAAACCTAAATTTGGCACCATTAAGGTGAATACCAATGTGGCCTGGTGCAGGTCTTCTTTGCGAGCTGGAGTGGGATGGGTGGGCCGCGACTTTGCGGGTCTGCTTCAAACTGCTGGAGGATCGGGAACTGGTATATGTCATAGCGCGGCGGCTGCTGAGGCATGTGCTATCCGGAGTGCTCTGATGGCCTGTATCGAAAATGGCTTTGATAAAGTGGTAATTGAATCTGATGCTTTAGTTATTATTCAGATGCTAAAAAAGGATTCTACACAATACTACAGCATTGAATGCATCCTTGGTGACATCGAGATTCTAGTACAGAGGTTAACGTCAGTGACGTTTTCGTTTGTACCTAGGGAGAGCAACCGTGCGGCTCACTCGGTGGCGAAGTTTGCCTTGCAGCAAGGTGGTGATTTTGTTTGGGATTGTATTGGGCCGGAATTTTTGTTTAATGTTTTAGCCCACAATGTAAACATTCCTATTCGTCTTTAATTTATCCTATCTTCGGTTTAAAAAAAAATGTGGTTTATTAAATGTCGTTTGTATTAAGTTTATGTGGTTTATCATAATTTTCATGTATTGATTTAGTGATTTGTCAAAATTTATCAGAATTTAAATATTTTTAGGTTAAAATGTTCATATAATTAATTTAGGATAGTCTACATAATTTTTTTAAAGTTAATTTAAAAAAAAATTAGCCGTAATTCATTCTTTGATAATCTCGGGTTAAAATTTTAAGTCAGAAGAGTTGGAATAGAAAGTATTTTCTGAACTAAAACCTAAATATTTTAGACTAAATATTTTTAGGTTTTAGATAATGGAGATGGTCTTATTTCCTGCTGACAGGATTGTCCTTTTTTCGTCATCCAAAAGGTGCTTTTAAACCCCTGATTAGGGTTTTAGAAGCAAAGCGAGGAGTAAGTGAGAACCGCGGACGCACGGGGTGGCCCCTCTCTCTCACACTCCCTCTCTCTCTCTCTCTCTCTCAACCGTCTCAGTCCCTAGGGTTTGGTCGCAGCCGGAATAAAAAATCGAAGGTACTCCTTATCTCCTCGACTTAGAGCTTGATAATTATATTTTCTTGTACAACAAATTCTGAAGCTTTTCAAGTTATTACCTCTGTGTTTCGTAAGTCGATAGTTTTTCATTTGTGGAAAAATCAAAGGGTTTGATTGATGCGAACAGTAATCTGTTTAGATAAACAAGTTGGTAACCTAATCACTGTTGTGGGTTTATTGTTATGATCGAGGGATTCTCTGGTTTCATGTATGTGTGTGTCTAGAAGTTTCTTGGTAGGAGATATGGTCGTTCATATGCTACCAAAACATGCCGCTGCAATGATAACTTCTGTATGTTTTGTATATCCTGTGTATAGGAAAGGTATTATCACTGAGCATATAATCTACATCTGTTGTGAGTGATGATTAATGAATGACCAAAACAGAAGACAAAATAATAATGAGGTATTGTCTAGAAAATTTCCCAGAAGCGAACTTCAATTTGGTGTTGGTGGTACCTGCTGTTTGTGTTTCGTTGGGGTTTTTTTTTAAAGAAAATGAGCGATATTTTGTTCTGTCTAATGTGCAGGAAATGGTTTCATCTGATGATGACCGATTGGCCACTGAGGCTGTGGAGAAAGTGACAGATTCAGAGCAGAAGAAGAAAAAAAGAAGAAGAAGAAGCATAAGGACAAAGACAGCGATTTTGACAAAAACTTCATGATCAAGCCCCAGAGCTCAACTCCCTCCTTGGACACCTCTCAGTGGCCTATCCTTCTCAAAAACTATGACCGACTCAATGTTCGAACTGGACACTACACCCCTCTACCCTCAGGGTTCTCCCCCCTTAAGAGGCCTCTTGCTGAGTACATCCGATATGGTGTTCTCAATCTTGACAAGCCTGCAAACCCCTCTTCTCACGAGGTTGTTGCTTGGATTAAGCGCATCCTTCGCGTTGAGAAAACTGGCCACAGCGGTACTCTGGATCCTAAGGTTACAGGTAATCTCATTGTCTGCATTGACCGAGCCACACACGACTTGTCAAGTCCCAGCAGGGTGCAGGGAAAGAGTATGTTTGTGTTGCCCGCTTGCATTCAGCTGTGCCTGATGTTGCCAAAGTGGCTCAGGCCCTTGAATCTCTTACTGGGGCTGTCTTTCAGAGGCCACCTTTGATATCAGCAGTCAAGAGGCAGCTTAGGATTAGGACCATCTATGAAAGCAAACTTCTTGAGTTTGATGCAGATAAACATTTGGTCGTTTTCTGGATTTCTTGCGAAGCAGGAACCTATGTGCGGACGCTCTGTGTGCATTTGGGTCTGCTGCTTGGTGTGGGAGGTCATATGCAGGAGCTTAGGAGGGTCAGGTCGGGGATTATGGGCGAGAAAGACAACATGGTCACAATGCATGACGTCATGGATGCTCAGTGGGCTTATGACACTAATAGGGATGAGAGTTATTTGAGGAGGGTCATCATGCCTCTTGAGGTTCTCTTGACCAGTTATAAGAGATTGGTTGTCAAGGACTCAGCAGTGAATGCCATTTGCTACGGTGCCAAGTTAATGATTCCAGGGCTGCTCAGGTTTGAGAATGATATCGAGGTTGGAGAGGAAGTTGTGCTGATGACTACCAAAGGAGAAGCCATTGCATTGGGAATTGCTGAGATGACCACTGCTGTGATGGCAACTTGTGATCATGGTGTGGTGGCAAAGATTAAGAGGGTGGTAATGGATCGGGATACTTACCCAAGGAAGTGGGGATTGGGACCAAGGGCGTCCATGAAGAAGAAATTGATTGCCGAAGGGAAATTGGATAAGCATGGGAAGCCCACTGAGAATACTCCGCAAGAATGGATGAGAAATGTGGTTTTGTCTGCAGGTGGGGATTCTATTGTTGCAAGCACTGCTGCTGCGCTTGACACTGAACCTGCTGTGGCAGAGAAGGAGACCGCTCTCGTAGACAAGGAGAAGAAGGAGAAGAAGAAGAAAAAGGACAAACATAAGGATGAAGAGGAAATTAAGGAGGGGCGTAAACGCAAACTAGAGGAACCCACAGAGAGCACTGTTCCGGTTCCTGCAAAGAAAAGCAAAGGTGAAGAAGTAGAGCCTGAAGTTGAGAAGTCCGAAAAGAAAAAGAAGAAAAAGGACAAAGAGAATGGCACTGTGGATAATGTTGAAGCTGGTTCACCTGAAACAGAAAAGTCAGAGAAGAAGAAGAAGAAGAAGAAAAACAAAGACGCTGAGGACAATGGTGCTGTGGCTTCTGCCGGCGCTGGTGATGGCGAGGCTGATAAGAGTGAGAAAAAGAAGAAACAGAAGAGTAAAGCAGATGCAGAAGATTAGAGGGACTTTGGATTAGAATCCTAGAGTGGCAGAACTTTGGAATGTATGCCCTTCTTTTATTCCATCTACAGAAAGTTTTCGTAACTGACTTCGGAATTTTCATCTCATATGTGTAATTTTTAATCGTTTTCCGCAGGACTAGTTTTTGTAGTTTAGTTTATGTATTGCAGGCTGTTTTTTCTTGGTTTTAAGCATTTTCAATTCACCATTTTACATGTTTCCTTTGCTTGTTTCTACTTTCTCCCTGAAAGAGGAAAATATGAATGAAAATACAGTTGCTATATGGTTTCTGGGGTCTTACAATTTAGTGATGCTACTGGTTACAAAAGTCTTATCTCCATCGGCACCCGGATGCAGTGTTAAATGAGCAAGAGGGCCGTAGAAACTTCTTTTCGAACGACTCCACTCAAAGTTGTTTGGGAGCATATGCTCCTATCAACTTTACACGGGACACACAAAAGAAGTACTTTGATCCTATTAGACGGGGGAGGGTGAAGAAGCTAGGACAGAAGGGTAGAGTTCAAGAGAGCAAAATGCGTTTAGGAACGTGGAACATAGGAACCTTAACGGGAAAATCTATGGAAGTAGTGGAAGTTATGGTGAGGAGAAGGATAAATATTATGTGCCTACAAGAAACTAAGTGGGTTGGTAGTAAGGCAAAGGATCTAGAAAACTCAGGGTTTAAACTTTGGTATTCGGGCACAAATAGAACAAGAAACGGTGTTGGCATCATCGTGGACAAGACCTTGACACAAGATGTTGTAGATGTCAAGAGGGTAGGAGATAGAATCATGGCAATCAAGATTGTAATAGGACAAGAACTTATCAATGTGATTAGTGCGTACGCACCTCAAGTAGGGTTGGATACGAGTTCGAAGGAGAAATTTTGGGAAGACCTTGGAGACTTGGTGCAAGGAATTGCTCAGACGGAGAAGTTATTTATAGGAGGAGATTCTAAATGGACACGTGGGCAGGGAGGCAGGCAACTATGGAGGTTTTCATGGTGGCCATGGTTTTGGGGAGAGAGAAACGAGGATGGGGAAGCTATCTTGGATTTTGCAATGGCATATGATCTCTTCTTAGCCAACACCTTCTTTAAGAAGAGAGAAGAACATGTGATTACCTATAAGAGTGGGTCGTCAAAAACACAAATAGATTTTTCTTCTAATGAGGAAAGGGGATCGTATAACTTGTAAGGATTGCAAAGTTATACCAGGAGAGAGCGTGGCTAATCAACATCGCTTGTTGGTGATGGATGTACATATCAAAAGAGGGAGACAAAAGAACAAGACTTGGAAGTGCCCAAGGACTAGATGGTGGAATCTAAAAGAAGAAAAACAAGCCATTTTCAAAGAGAAGGTAATCACCCAATGTGTGTGGGATAGAGAGGGGGAAGCTAGCCAAATGTGGGATTCCATGGCTAGTTGTATCCGAAAAGTAGCAAAAAGAGGTATTAGGAGAGTCCAAGGGCTTTGCCCCACACCAAAAGGAATCTTGGTGGTGGAATGAGGAGGTACAAACAAAGGTGAAGGCTAAGAAGGAATGTTTGTAAAGCCTTATACAAGGAGAGGACCGATGAAAATGGTGAAAGGTATAGAAAAGCGAAGCAAGAGGCGAAAAAAGCTGTCAGAGAAGCTAAGTTAGCGGCTTACGACGATATGTATAAACGACTAGATACCAAAGAAGGAGAGTTGGATATCTATAAACTAGCTAGAGCAAGGGAAAAGAAGACAAGGGACCTAAACCAAGTGAGGTGCATCAAGGATGAGGATGGAAAGGTTCTTGCTACAGAGAACGCGGTTAAAGACAGATGGAGAGGTTATTTTCATAATCTTTTCAATGAAGGACATGAAAGGAGTGCTTCTTTAGGGGAGTTGAGTAACTCAGAAGAGTGTAGAAACTACTCTTTTTATCGTCGAATCCGGAAGGAAGAAGTGGTTGTAGCTTTGAAGAAGATGAAGCATAGAAAAGCAATAGGCCCAGACGATATACCAATCGAAGTGTGGAAAGTTTTGGGAGAGACAGGTATAACATGGCTCACTGACCTTTTCAATAGGATTTTGAAAACGAAGAAGATGCCAAATGAGTGGCGAACGAGCACTTTGGTGCCTATCTACAAGAATAAGGGCGACGTACAAAATTGCATGAACTATAGGGGTATTAAGCTAATGAGTCATACAATGAAGCTCTGGGAGAGAGTCATTGAGCATAGATTGAGGCAAGAGACACGGGTTTCGGACAACCAATTCGGGTTCATGCCAGGGCGCTCAACCATGGAGGCAATCTATCTCTTACGAAGATTGATGGAAAGATATAGAGATGGGAAAAAGGATTTACACATGGTCTTTATAGATTTGGAAAAAAGCGTATGATAGGGTCCCAAGAGACATTCTTTGGAGGATTTTAGAGAAGAAAGGAGTACGAGTAGCATATATCCAAGCTATAAAGGATATGTATGAAGGAGCAAAGACTGCCGTAAGAACTCATGAAGGACAAACCGAAAGCTTTCCCATAACTGTAGGATTACATCAAGGCTCATCCTTAAGTCCTTACCTTTTTGCGTTGGTAATGGATGAGTTAACAGGACATATTCAAGATGATATTCCTTGGTGTATGCTTTTCGCAGACGATATAGTGTTGATAGATGAAACTCAGGAAGGGGTAAATGCAAAGCTTAACCTTTGAGAGAGAAGTGTTGGAATCTAAAGGTCTTCGCCTAAGCCGATCAAAGACAGAATATATGGAGTGCAAGTTCAGTGCAAATGGAGGCCAAAACGAGTTAGGGGTGAGGATCGGAGATCAAGAAATACCAAAGAGCGACCGTTTTCGTTACCTAGGATCTATCTTGCAAAAGAACGGAGAATTAGATGGAGATCTCAACCATAGAATACAAGCTGGATGGATGAAGTGGAAGAGTGCATCCGGCGTGTTTGTGTGACCGCCGTATGCCACTGAAGCTCAAGGGAAAATTTTATAGGACGGCAATAAGGCCGGCGATGCTGTATGGCACAGAATGTTGGGCGGTGAAAGCATCAACACGTACACAAAATGGGTGTAGCGGAGATGAGGATGCTTCGTTGGATGTGTGGGCACACGAGAAAGGATAAGATTAGGAATGAGGATATCCGGGGTAAAGTAGGAGTAGCCGAAATTGAAGGAAAGATGAGAGAAAATCGGTTACGGTGGTTTGGACATGTGCAAAGAAGGCCTACTGACGCTCCGATTAGAAGATGCGACTATGGGACAGAGGTTCAGGGCCGAAGGGGTAGAGGAAGACCTAGGAAAACTTTGGAAGAGACTCTAAGAAAAGACTTAGAGTACTTGGATCTAACGAAGGACATGACACAGGATCGAGCACAATGGCGTTCTAAGATTCATATAGCCGATCCCACTCAGTGACTTGGATTTTCCAAGTCTCCAACCGAGAAGTTTTCCTCACTCGGGAAATTAAGGGAACACTACCCCAACCTACATGCTCCACTCAGAAAGCTTCAACATACAAGCTTCAACAAAAGAAAATTCAAAGAACTTAGCGAAGAAGGCTTTGGTGTATTTAACACAATACGTTGAAATGAGGAAAGCTTATTTATTGATATCTCCGATAAGCTACAAATATGTACATATACATGAGTCAAAATAAACACACAAGAGGGAGCCTTCACAAAGGTTGCTTAGGAGAAGTCTCAGCAGTCGGTAGAGCCCCAGAAAGAGAAAGGCACCGGAGGGGGATCATTTGGAGCCTCAGTACTGGACAGAACCCTAGAAGGAGGAGGCATCAGAGGTTGATCATTTGGAGCTTCATTACGCGGTACAGCCCCAGAAGACGAAGGCAATAAATGCCTTTGGAACAAACCCACAAATCTCTGATGATCAAGTAAAACCTGACCATCAGTTTCCTTCATCTGGTCAAGCTTCCTCTTCATGTTTGTAGCATAGTCATGTGCGAGCCGGTGCAACTGTTTATTCTCATGCTTGAGCCCTCTAATCTCCTGTTTGAGACTCATCACTTCAGCCGCCAATGATTCAACTTGGCGGGTTCGAGCAAATAGGCGTTGGGCCATATTAGACACAGAACCTGCACACTGAACACTGAGAGCCAGCGAATCCTTAACAGCTAACTCATCAGACCGTTTGGAAAGTAGTCTGTTATCTTTGGGAGTGAGAAGGTTCCTGGCCACCACCGCAGCGGTCATATCATTCTTCATCACGGAATCCCCAACGGTAAGAGGACCAGTAGGGGAGACGAAGGATGGGCGCCATATGTTGTCTGGAGAAGGCGGGGCTGCCTCTTCAACAAGGTTCAAGTCAAAACGACGGTCGGAGGGGCCAGACATTTTCAAAGGTGTTGAAGAGAGAAGAGGTCGGACAAATCAAGATCTTAGAAGTGCAAGAATGAAGCTTCTACTGGTGGAGATTCAAGTGTGCTTTGGAACTTAATGCCAGCCCCTATAAAAATCTGCACTCGACGGAGCTTCAGAAATCGAAGAGGCGCCTGCTCAGAAATCGAAGAGGCGTTTGCTTTCTCAAAAGCTGGGCTGCTTAGAGATCACGAGGGTTGATCTCAGAAATCGAAGAGGCGTTTGCTTTCTCAAAAGTTGGGCTGCTCAAAGACCACGAAAGGCCGATCTCAGAAATCGAAGAGGCGCTCGCTTTCTCAAAAGCTGGGCTCCCCAGAGACCACGAGGGCCGATCTCAGAAATCGAAGAGGCACCTACTTTTCCAGCCTTGTCAGCACCTGTCACACGCACACTCAGCTTTGCGGAAATTATGGGCATTCTGTCGAAGACTTCTGGGGAAGTAGAAAACACATGAATCTTACTGTTCAATCACCCACTTCCCACACGCAACAATAGCTCATGGGTACCACAGATAACTTTGCCAAAGTTCTCTGCCAAAGTTGAGCACGTGAAGCTTGCAGCTCCCACTACATCGCTCTGACCAAGAAGGGTAAAAGAATAGCAAAGAAACAGCACTAACAAAGTTTAGACCCATAAATTTTGAAGGTCTAGCTACCATATTATTACCCACAAGGGTAAAGGAACAGTACCACTGCTGGATAATTGGAAAGTCCCTGTGTGTCAACCTCTGTGCTTCGTGGCAAGGTAGACTAGCAAACATGCCCAACCTTTACTCACATTCGAGAAAACACTCCCAATAAGATTGCTTGCTCCAAAATCGAAGAGGCACCGTCCTCCGAATCTCGAGAGCCAGACTCCCAACATGACTACTTTCTTAAAAATCGAAGAGAGGGTAAAGGAACAGTACCATTGCTGGATAATTGGA